TATTAAAGAAATTTTATATGCGTCTAAGCATAAAATATTTCCATAGTCTCGTCAGATTTTGTGATCATAACTTAATTTTTAATTTTATTAAGTATACGTAATTGATCACTATCCTATGAGTGCTATTACTCGAAAATGTTATTACACGTCGTCACAGAATAACAAAGACATGCTTTTAAGAATGTTCTCTAATGGTGTCGCATTTTGGCATTACCCTCTTTTCCTGGCATTACCCTCTTTTCCTCTCGATATGAGATCTTAAAATTGCTATATACTAGAGGCGATTTCCGTAAGAGCGTCGGATACGAACCACATGTACTTTGACAACTGACTTATCATGATATTATGTATCTATGTATTGCCGTACTTTCAAACGGAAATTCAATGTCGATAAAGATTTATATCTCTGCGAACGTCGAAAAACGACGAATTTAGATCACAATGGAGATTTGAAGCAGAGGAGACAAATGAACGTAATAATGAATGCTTAAGTACAATTCCTTTATTTATATGTAACACGATTTTTATTTATACAGAAATTGTTCGTAAATTGTAGTAGCACAGTGTATGTGTTTATAATTTAAGCTCAAAGAATAAAAACTTGTTGTACCATGCTATTTACTCACAAGCTTTTCGCGTTGATGTATCTTTTTAAAGAAATAAGACTTTTTTCAAAAAATGAAAAATTAAGGTGATAAATTCATTGCAAGATAATTCAGATAAAGAATGTAAAATCAAATTGAATCATTGAACGTATTTATTAGAAATAAATAATACAGATGCGTTCCGTCATGAATTGATTATCTGAATAATAATTATCTGAATAATTGTTCATAATTAAATTTTAAGAAGTTTCGGCGAAACTCTCAAGAATATAAAACATAAAAATTATGCATAGCAAAAAAAAAAACAAATAGTCTTAACTTGCGCTCGATATCTCACTATCGATTCTCTCTTTTCATCGAAAATAGATAGAAGAAAAAGGCGCAAATTATAAAAGCGAATTTAGCTTTCGATTTTTCTCGCGCACTTCCGCAACTTAAATCAAACCAATCACCAAAGAAAACGAATTATCCGTGGAAAACTAATCAAAAATTAAATTGCGATACACCGAAGTTCATTTATTATGTGATAGGTACATTCAATTTTTATCCATGATAATGGTGTACATGATCGATGCAACCATCGTCACAGATTGAAATCACTTCAAATAATGAATAGTCTATTTTGTATATTAAGTTACACAAGCGCAGAAATTAATTTAAATTCAATTCAATGATCGTTTATTCTAACGCATTTGTTTTTTTATTATCTTTATTTTTAACTTTATTCTTTTTTATGATTTTTATTTATACGTGAAATCGATATCTAATATCTTTCTATAAAAGCACTTTTATATCTACAATATAAACAAGATAAACACAGCATAGCAGAAAAATGTAATTAAAAATAAATATAAATATTTGTTTTTAATAAGAAATAAAATAAAAATTATTAATTCACTGATATGCCATTTGCAAAATATAAATTTTTATTATGAGAAAATGCTTATAATGCTTATAAATGTTACAGCAATATCACAGCACTTATGTTTATATTTGAATAATAATGTTATAAATTTGTATGTTAAAATTAATTAGACCTCATTTATAAATGTGATTTATACACACACACACGCGCGCGCGCTTTATCAATGGAATCAAATTTTCATTAACTTTTAAACATTTCTGAAATTTTCGGTATATATATATATATATAATAAAACAGAAAAGTTATTTGGTGATAATGATAAAGAAAGATCAATTTATTATATATATTTAATTCTTTCGTAAGTGTTATTATCGAGTCACTCAAAAGCTAGTTTATTTTTAAATTAAATATTTTAAATTATATTTTGAAAGAGTTAAATGAGAAAAAAATATATCATTAGCTAAGTTCATATAAAATACGTCTCGAACAAATAATTATTCGTTTGTCAAGTAGATTAGCGATTTAATGCCCCTCAACATCAATTAAATTAGCAGAATAGCAGTTTAATTAGACTCTTTAAAGCAAAAACCTCTGACTCTCTTTACAAGTTGTCGAGATGGAAAGATCATTGATATTATATAAATCGATTATCTTTATCATCTTCATCAGCTTGGTAATTCTTTATTTGATACATTTTTAGTCGTATTTTGGCAAATGTCTTAAGGAATAAGCGATAAACATATTTTTCGTGTTATCTAAAATTTCTTTGATCCTTATAATAATGGGATGGTGTGAGCAAAAATTGGACGTTTATTTCCAATAATATCCTATCTTTATATCATCTCGAAAATAGTGAGCCGATGCTTACCTTGAAAATATGGTATCAGCTTGCACATTGCGAGGCCGAAAACGAAATTCTTGAGAATCTGACCCAGAAGAGTAAAGGGCATACAGAACACACCGAGTAAAAGATCTGATACAGCCTGCAACAAAGATCGAAAGTAATTTTGTTAATTACTAGTTCCAGTCTGCAAAAAATAACATCGTATAGATATTATACTTATTCAAGCAGTACGAAATAAACAATGTGTTGTCAATTTGCAAAACAATCAAAGACCAGTAACATCAGGAAATTTCTTTGGTTTTTATTTTGACAAAACATAAAAGCTATTGTACAAAATGTTTAAACGTCTTAAACCAAAGTGTCGTAGAAATAAATGCTTTATCCTTTCTTCATTCGTGCACTCTCTCGACTTGTAAAGATACAAACAAAGGTAGTTCTGAGTTCTGGTCCAGGCTGATCGATCATCAGTAAACAACAGGAAAATGGCTTTCAACGACACAGTAAATTGGATGTTGAAAATTTTCAATTTTGTTTGCAGTCCGAAGATTCGAGAGATTGTTTGTATAATTTTAAATGATTGGGATATATTAAATGTATATGTATGTATATTTTTGTTAATACATAATACTTTACTGAATGCAAAAATCGATGTAACGCGTGATGCAAGAAACAATTTTCTAAAGAAAATATTCTCTGTCACGTAACAAGACGGACTACTTTTAATTAAACTAAAGTCCTAGCTGATCTGGGAAAGCAGCAGGAAGAGAATTCTTGTTTTTCTTTTATTCAACGTTCATTGATATAATTTCAACAATAAAAGTTTTGTTTTATTGCTGGATACACGATGTAATTTTCGAAAAGGAATTAAAACAGATGATTAAAAGAAAGTAGATAAATAAATGATTAAAATATAGAAATATTTGGAAGTAGATTGATGAAGAAAAATCGAAACAAAGAAATAAAACAAAACTATCGTTAATGTGTGCTATAATAGCTGTTGGATAAAACATTTTATATATTTGCGTGCTTGTGTGTACTAAATTATTCTATCTTTTTGCAATAATATGTAATTTTATATATATTATTCAGCTCAAATAGAA